GCCTGTGGGCCACCTTGATTTCAAATCAGTCCAAAAAAGGTACAATGCACAACTAGGGACCAAGGGAAACCAATATCTATGAAATATCAGAAGGATCCATCCTGGACTTCCTCAGATATAGCAGTAACAAGATTTTACTCTTAAAATCCAAGATGGCTGCCTGTCAGCCATCTTGATTTCAGATCAGTCCAAAAACGTAAAATGCACAACTTGGAACCAAAGGGAACCTGCATATGAAATTTGAGAAAGATCCATCCAGTACTTTCCAAGAAATAGCAGTAACAAACTTTTACATTCAAAATCCAAGATGGCCACCTGTCTGCCATCTTGATATGAAATTTGAAAAGACCCATCCAGTACTTTCAAGAAAAGGTAACAAACTTCAATGCACAACTAGGTACAATGCACAACTAGGGAAACTGCATATGAAATTTGAGAAAGATCCATCCAGTACTTTTCCAGAAATAGCGGTAACAAACTTTTACTTCCAAAATCCAAGATGGCCACCTGACCCCCATCTTGAATTCGAATCAGTCCAAAAAAGGTACAATGCACAACTAGGGACCAAGGGGAAACTGCATATGAAATTTGAGAAAGATCCATCCAGTACTTTTCCAGAAATAGCAGTAACAAACTTTTACTTCCAAAATCCAAGACGGCTACCTGTCGGCCATCTTGAATGCGAATCAGTTCAAAAAGGTACAATGCACAACTAGGGACCAAGGGGAACCTGCATATGAAATTTGAGAAAGATCCATCCAGTACTTTTCCAGAAATAGCGGTAACAAACTTTTACTTCCAAAATCCAAGATGGCCACCTGTCGGCCATCTTGAATGCGAATCAGTTCAAAAAAGGTACAATGCACAACTAGGGACCAAGGGGAACCTGCATATGAAATTTGAGAAAGATCCATCCAGTACTTTTCTAGAAATAGCGGTAACAAGAATTGTTTACGGACGGACGACGGACCACGGACGCAGGGCGATTTGAATAACCCACCATCTATTTGAATAGATGGTGGGCTAATAAATTTGAAGAACCTACACTCTGCTGTGATCGATACTCCTTCACAAAATTGTAATAGTGTACAGTCAAATGATCAATTTTCTCCATGAAAATGTAGTAGGTAAAATTATGTATGCTAAATACACAGAATATCATTATCTCATTTATGACCATGGCTGTACAGAGCCAATAAACCTAGCACACAAACAAAAAGCATCTCATTCATACATTTATGATGTGTGATATACTTATTCCATTTTTGAATGGGACACAAAAGAATCTAAATTTTGTTTGCAAGTACCCTGTTTGACACTTTGATATATTATACTTTAAAGCTTTCAAATCACAATAGAGATGTGCCATACATTCACTAATGCAAAATTGTCTATCACTACCTGTGATGTTTTACAGAGCATTGTATCGTTTCAACGCCTAGAAAAATTATAACAATACTGACTTTTCAGTATGAACTGTTACTATCTACACATAATATGTTTTCTAATTTTCAATGGTGGTCTATTATGTCAATTCAGGGTGACAAAGCCACAGATATTTTTGTTATACATGAAAGATTTCGCAATGAATTGAAAGTCAACAAGAAAATCTGATCTACAGCGGTAGTGGTATGCGTGATGAGCCACCAACATGCAAAAACCTGACGATCAAATCACAATCGAAACACATCTCAATTTACATAGCCCTTTCATAAACCTTACCTCACCGTGAACACAAGTTAAATATTGAATAAATATTTATATAATTGATTCTCCAAACTAGAAAAAGTCAGTGCAATCCATTATATCACGCAATTTAGATGTCTCATTCACAATGTGTATTGACTCAGTGATTCGAAGTCAAGTAATGTACATAAGATCTTATATTTTAAGTAAGAAAATCAAGATGATTGACAAACATTAAATTGAATAATTCACTATTTCTTTTGAGTAATAAATATAAAAGTGCTGTTATTTATTATAAAGTCATGATGCATTTTCACTAAATATTTACAAAAGATCTTTTTTCCATACTTTTATGATATAATGAGACTGTGGAAAGAGTAGAAGAAGAAGAATATTAAATTTTGTATTGTGAATGAATACGTTGATTCAATTATCCATTTTTTCTGTTCTAGACATTTTAGGAGACTAAGAGACTTGTATGTTATATCCTAGTCTATATCATAAATACATGTCAATGACATTCTCAAGCTGTGTGCATAACATAAATTTAAAACACTGAAAACTAAACTCAAGTAATTTCAAGGAAGAACTTTTCTTCTGTTGAAACTGAATTGAGCTTCAAAGGAGAAATCTGTGATTAAAATATTGTATTTTTATCTTAGCTACATCATATTTTATCAAAAAGATAACAAGTTGACAACTATCATTTCCTTAAGCTTTGGTTTATAACTATGCCTGAACTACCTCACGTTAGACTTGTAAGGCTCAGATGGATAATATGTTGTGTGGATTTCAGAGTATAATGTACATTATTACTGAGCTAGTATATTGTACAAGGATTCCAAGATGACGTCAGAGAAGAATCTGTAGCAAATTCCATGAAATTGATTCATTAATCAATGGTACCACCTCATTGATTGGACTCAGTATATCAGGTCGGCTGTCAGCACACAGTTATCATCACACAATGGCCAACTTATCTAATAGACAAGTCATCAACCAACCTAGATTCCATTGTCGTTCCAAATGTAGACAAGATTGTATATTACCAACTGGAGACATAATTACAATCCAAATTAGAACCGACACACAAAACTGCTTTGATATATATAAGGTTTCTAAAACTCAATTTCTTGTGGAAAGGTCAACTCTGCCGAAGGCCCTGACAGGAAACCAACTTTGGTCTCCAGCCCACAATCCAAATCTCTACCAATTTAATTGATCCACAGAACTGATCATGCTCTGTCAGCTGGAAGCCACATAAGGAGCTTGCTCCTTATACTCTTCTACCCCACTTGTTATTTTTGAGATTTTCTCAGATCTCAGCTTGACTCCATCCCCGAAGATTAATTTGGGTGCTAATGTCGCAGGGTTAAGGAAAGAAAACTTCATTCTTGCCCAAGTCCTGAATCTCTGTAACAGTAGTCTATTCAGACAATTTATGGGAAATTTTGAAATGTAAGGTGCTACAGTTGTGTACAATTCAATAAATTTATTGTTCATATGAATTTGCAATAAGATGCCCTTATGTTTTATCATTATGATTTCATGCTTTCATGCCAGACATATTGTTTGCAATACATGAAAAGTTTAACTTGGCCAGCAATATGCACTCCAATACTTTGATTCAGAGGCCCCATGCATAAATATATGGTATGTGACTAAGCCTTTGGATTAAACCTGTACTCCAGGTGTACAATTACTCACCTGTATACACATATATATTAACATAGATAGCCCTATTGACCCATCAGTTAGATATATATATATATTTTCATTTTGACCAGTGTGACCTTTTGACATTTTTGACCTTAATGGGATAGGAGTTTATCTATCCACACCCACTTATCATTCTACTTTATGGTTATCAACATAAGGCATATACATAATAATGACTAAATGACCTTTTTTGTTATTTTGAACTTTACAGCTCTACCTGATATCAAGATCATCTTTATGCTGGTATCACAAACAAACCATGTTATGAACAGAATAAAACTAACAAAGCTTACAAACGTAACTGTACCTCAGAGGTAAGTAATTATATAAGTAAAGCAACTTAACCAGACTTTCTACAGAAGTGATATCATTATAGGTGTAAAGGACAGTTAAATGACTCACACTGATGGTCCTGATACAGTGTAGCCAGCAGCACAAATTCTTACCTATTGATTTTCTACACCAAAAGCTTATATATGCCTTCAAACAACATTTCTAAACTTCAAAATATCCAACCCCAGAAATGCATAGCGCATTTTTATTAAAGAATACTACGTATCTTTATTGCTGTTTAATTTATCAGCATATCTCAACTACCCAAGGCCTAAAGTCTGAGCAATAATTTTCCTGTATAAATGAATGAGGCAATTACAATTTAATGTTTTTCAAAACGAAAAAAATGAAATTTTTATTTCAAAATAATTTTAAAAAAAAAATGAAATTGTTGTTCACACATCGCTACATAACACAATACTGTAGCTGTACTATATAAATAAATTTATGATGTTGCATCCTTCTAGATATAAGGAAGATGGTATATATCTTGATGGGAGCATATATATATATTCACCGACAAAATGTTTCAGCCATTAAAGAATTAATGGACGACCATCAGTTAAGTGGTAAAAGTAGTAAAAATGTCAAACTGTTCTATGTGTTTTGATAGGTCTATAGATGAGGTTCAGTTCCCTAGCTATTTCACCCTACACTCATAGTACTGAGAAATATCCTGATCATATACTGCTGATTCAGTACAAATATGATACTGCAGTCTGTATAATTATTGACTCAAAGGACTGGAGCTGGTGCTGAAGCTTCAGACTGATTATCATGTTGCACACACTGACAATCTGCTGAATTCCCTTATGGACATTCAATAAGAGTGACTCTTCTTATGTAATATGTAGATCATAATTTTTTGCTTGTTTTATCGACCTGAATACTTACATGGGTTTCTAAGTGACATATCAGTAAATCACTACACAGGGAAACACTAGAACTTGTAGAAAAGTCTGAATATAGATCTGGTGTTTATACTTCCTGGTTCCCCCAGTCCATATTATCAGCAAAATTTCAGAATTATTGAGTAAATGGAACCATTCCACCAAAAGAAAACAACATATGCTAATTTTAGATATAAGTTTGACAAAAGAAAAACTAATTAAAATTTTGTTTGGATTTCTGTAGTTTTTGAGGACAGAGAAATCTGGATCAGGCATATATTCTACAGTCTGAAAGTTTGAAAACAGTTTGAAAACGCCAATGTTGTTGATATCTAGCTACCTGTATTGTTGGATAGAGAGGAAAATACTTACCCTTCAATTAGTTTGAATACACATTTCTCGTAGATTTCACATTGCTGTGTAGGGATGTCGAATGTGTAGTCGAAGGTGAAGGCCTTATCTTTACCGAGCATCACCTGTTGACCACCAGGTAGCACCGTCGTACACACCTGACACATATCTATCCTCTCGCGTGCCAGCTGGGGACGGATTCTGCAGAAGGAAAAAAAAATCTTCTGTCAATGTCACAAAAAAATTGTCATATTTACATAATCTTAATTTCAAATATCAACAGATTTCACATACTGTAAATAAAATTTCAGAAATATATTACATGGACAAAAATTCTTTGATTTTGCAACTATAATATTAATATAATATAATATTACAGTGTACTTAAGTGTTGATTAAGCATTGGCAACAATTATCTGCAGCAAATTGCTGTCTTTCTCAACAAGAGGCCTGAGGTGCCTGCATTGCTCACCTGACTAATGCAGCTATTCATGTATTTGACAAAAAATTTCAAATATGTCAAACAATTTCTGAAATAATTTCTCCATGGTTCCCTTGTTTTCTGACACAGATCAGATTTACCATTTATTAAAACTGCTTTCCTCCAAACTTGGACAATATGCTTATAAGGAAGGATTTTTAAGAACTAACATTTCCCAAATTGGGCCCCATCACTCAAACCCCAGGGGATGGGGACCCATCGTTCATACTAAACCGATTCAATTTCAATCAAGAAAATTTCAGACCAAATTTGAGCAAAATCGAATCATTCCTACAGAAAGAGTAGAATTTTAAAGAATTTACTCTTTTTCCTGTTTTAGGCCCCGCACCACCTGTCCCGGAGGCTGAGACCTAATGTCTATATAAGATTGATTAACCATCACCCAAGAATGCTTCAGACCAAATTTAGGAAATATCCATTCATTGATCTACTCTATTTGTCCTATTGGGCCTCGCCTTCCTTCAGACCATATGAGTTGATATTTCTTTTTCCTTTGGTCTCACCAGTTCATACCCCTATTCTTTTTTTCATTGATATAATTATCACCCATTTAAGTACTGTTGAATTCTTTTTCAAGTATTCTCCAATGGTTTATCCTGACTGGCCTCTGACATCTTTGCCATTACTAAACATTTTACATTCTACTTTAGTTAAAAATAGACATTTTGCTTGAAAAAAGTGAGAGCTGACACGGGTTACCATAAAACTTTATAACAGACTGCAGTAAAGCACATCCAAATATTTGTAGTTCAGAATTTTTATCTTTATGCTACAATCATACCTTATGTACATTCTTCTATCCAGAAACATGACTTTTTTCACAAAATTCATGATATTCCTATATTGACTTTGGTCAAGTCTAGACAGACATACTTTGTATGCAAAGACCATCAACTTGTTTGCTTATCTGTACAATTTATCTCAATCAATACTCCCCAGATAAAAAAAAACCCTCTTTACAGAATGTTAAACCTAAACATCCTCCATTTCTTATTGTTCGTTCCTGACCGTGTACAATCAAAATATTTTCCTTGAAGCAATTTTTACAAATTAAGATAGACATTCTGATACACTGTTACTTTAAACTTTCAAGACATTTGTTACAGTGCCCAAAGGTACAACTTTATATTGGAGTTTAATGCTTTTTGTCTGCTGAGCATGCATGGACAAAATTTCTTCTGCACCATTGAATTACAAATACTGTGACAGCAGGGACTATAATTGAACATTTGCCAGTCCTTCATTTTGACGATGTCTGGGTCAGACAGCTAGATGTTATATATTAATTCCCAGTTTACAATTTTTTCTTTCTCCATCAACCTCAGAGAAGATCCAGGTGTTGTGCTTTGTGATTTCTGTTTCTACTGCTTTCCTGCAGTGTCTTGTTTGTTTGGACACTTTTGCCCCAATCCAGGATTACCGGTAAGCATCAGATCATGCACCTTACCTCAGATCTTCACCTGAGGTTACAAAGGCCAAAACTCTAACCAAATCAGGGCTATTGCCCCCATCTCAACACTTATCAAATAAAAATCTTGATAAACTAATACAATGTAAGGAAACAGATATATATTTTAAAATTACAGATCACATGTCAGAAAGACTGCATGGAAAAGGAAGTTCACTGCACAAAACCTGTACTTCAGCAAAAAAATGGAATCAAACATATCTTTCCCCACTATATACATGCTGTCAGTGAGGCATTTATCCAACAATTGACATTAAAATCAACAAGCTTCGATCTTCATTCTGAAGTCAATACTCCTCATCACATAGGAGTTATTTTTTGCATGGACATCTACAGCTTTTTCAGACCTGAACCTTTAATCCATACGTATGCTGTATGTCAGTTCATCTTCCTTACAAGTCTAAATATAGCATTTTTATTGTCTAGTTATCGGAGTGAGAGTCGGTCTGATTAAGTCCAAAACCTTGTTGGTAGTATGTACTCTGTAAGCCAATACTTTGGAGAATGTCCAAAACTCACGGATAACTGTCCTTGTATGGGAAGTTTTTACAGATAGAGGCCTGGCTTATCATCCAAAGGCAAACAGCCTCTTATATGGTCAAAATGATGATCAAGTTTATAAAGATTGACGTTAGGATGTTCGTATGTTAGCCAATGTTTGGAAATACGCTAGGGAGATATTATAGTGGGTTAAGTAAATACATTATTCAATACTCTGTAATAGATATATACGCCACTATGTATGTACAAATGTTCCAGCACACAGCGAATATGATGCCATACTTCCACAAGATGATAAATGTTGCTGACTGTAATGTAAAATTATACATTTTCACACGAATATCCGGAAATAAACATAGGAATTAGATATAATTTGAATCCATTTCATGAATGTAAGAGCTATACAAACTTCAATTTTTGTTTCGATGTATACACATAGCTATGTAACAACACGGGTGGCTGTTTCTTGTTTACATACTACGATATCAATAATAATGTTAATTGAATAAGCATCCTGATAGCAAATACGAGCTCTAAATTTCACATCAGGAACAGAATAAGTGAATTTATCAAATCAAATCAGAACATGTATATTGTGATCAAAATTTTGTTTCATAAAAATCAACTTATGTCGAAAACTTTTAAACAAACGATATATTGTAATTTCTGGGCCTTTTACTCTTTCTATGCTGCTTTAAGAAATGATCTAATAAGTAATTTTGCTAAACACTAGTCATAGAGCGAAAATGACGTAAAGAATTCGTAGGTATGAATTTTTCATGAAATCATAGCCCATATGTAATGATCATGTACATCATTGCAAGTCAGTTGGTGTTATTTTACAATTGTGAAACAAATTTTTTCAAATTATCTAAATTTTGGCCTAGATGTTAGTGTGTGCGGGGTCTTAATAAGGAAAGAAACTGGAGAATCCAGGAAAAACCCACATGATCAGGCAGGCTATCGAATACCTGTTCATGTCCGTACCTCGAACGCCTAGGTGAAAGGTTAATAGGTTACCAAGTGAGAGCATCATGATCAACCAATCATCCTATTGGCATCCTAGGAAGCAATTTCAAATAATACAGAAATTAACTCTCCATTGCCACTGTTTAATCTTCAATACAGCTGAGTGCATTAATGACAAATAGTGAATCATGCATCTAAAAAACCTCACAGATGGCTATCAAACAGAATTTGATATAAAGCCTAACAACGCTTCACTAAACAAGGGTACTTTATTTCTAGAATATCATTAATTAATATGTCATACTGCCATTTCACAGGTGTCAAATCGTGTTGGCTTCCAAATAAATATTTTATAGAATATGAATAAAAACAAGAGGCCCGAGGGCCTGTATCACTCACCTAGATATCTAAGTCAATAATGCAAAACTTTCCATTTCTTTTGAAGGAAAACATTCCCCCTGTAAGTCTCACCCCACAGATACAGATTCAAATTCCCTAGGAATGCGGACAGAGATCAGCTGTTGATCTCTTGATGTCCAGTAATGTTTTTAATTTATTGGTTAGTAATCTCAATGGCTTCAAACATATAATCTGTCCTTGGAAGGATCATACCTCAGGTAAAATTATAACTTATCATTGTGTTTTATCTCCTGATGCTTAGCAATGCTATAGTTATTCAGTGGAGATAACAAATTTTTCAATGACCAAAGATCCAAATGAATTGTTGATGGTGCAAAGCGGTGATATGAAAATGAACTAAATCTACTTGGGAGTTAATTTTTCCCTGTTGGGCCCGTACATCTGGCCCAAGGGGCCAAAATGCATGCTTTGTACAAAACTGATTTCACCATACCCAAGCATGCTTCAGACCAAATTAGGACAATATCCTGCAATTCCTAGAGAACAAGATAGATTTTTAAAAAATTTATTGATTTTTCATATTGGGCCCTGCCCCTCATGCCCCAGGAGGGTCAGGCCCACCATTTACACAAAATTTATTTCTGTATCTCCCAAGGATGATTCAGACCAAATTTGGTTAAAATCTTATCAGTCATTCATGAATAGTTGACATATGACGGATGACGGATGCTGGACAGACGTCAGATACTGCGGTATCCCTATAGCTGACTTGGCTCTTCAGGCCAGGTGAGCTAGAAAGAAAACCAATTGTAAATTGTGTTCTAAAAATGTTCCTGGCTGAATGCATTTGTTTGAATCGACTTTGGATTACATTAGATTCTGCTATATTTATGAAAGCTGGTCCTAATGCTATCAATGTAAGATCACAATTGGTTTTTTTATAGAATCAGATGTTATATATCTAAACACTTAATATATACAGAATCTCACAGCAGAATGCTATTAATGTGCTGAAATGTCTATATTCCTAATGCTATCAGTTCTGGATCATTGGTATGAGAATCTGGTCAGACCATCTATTGGCTTAAATAGAGGTTGTCTGAAGCATGGCCCAGGAAGTAGCTGACGTCAGCATGTATTGATTTTCCTGGAGAGACTGCTGATCAACAGGCAGGTCCTTACAATTCTGAGGCTGCTTTTACTGAAAATCTTTCATGTAATGCCTTACATATAACACAAGAGTATATATGAATAATACAGGCAACAGTGTAAATGGAGCTGTTTATGATACTACAGCTGGTAAGTGACCAGCCTCTGACATGCCAATCTTTGTCATGTAAATCTTACATAATGCATTTGTTACTATCTATTTATAATTATGGACAATTACACTTTTACTGT